CAGCCCCCCCCCAGCGCTGCCACCCCGCTGCAAACACGCTCTTCTGTTAAAAGCAAAACCCCAAATTGCTGCAGACATCTGTTTGGGGCAGAGGGTGCGTTCGCCGGGTTTCAGCCTAGAGAAGAGGGGAGAGGTGTGTGCGTCTTGAGCCTGGTGATTTACTGAAGAGACGCCCGGCCCCGCGCTGCAGTGGCACCAGCGATGCTGCTGTCATACATGAAAGACTTTATTAACTCGCAGCTGCCTTTGCAGCCAAGGCACGGGGTTCAGACTGGATGAATTTACTGCTTAGCAGTAAAATATCAACCCGGTTTATAACTGTGAGTTCTCCATTAAGGGCAGCAGGAACAAAAAGCCTGACTGGCTTTAACGTGGAGTTTGGTAAGTTTATGGGGGGGGTTATGGGATGCAGCTACCGGATACAGCAAAGGGCTGGGGGAGGCGCGGAACCGTGAGGTGCAGCCTGATGGCAGAACGCTTCCCTTCGCTCTTGTCAGGGAAGGCAGCCCACAAACACGCTGCTGGAATCCTGAGTGATCGGCTGCTCCACCACCGACAGAGCTTGAGAGCCACGGGACGCGTCCCCGGAGTAGAGCAGAAGCTGCTCCAGTCCCCCCAGGGGGTTTTACCTCTGCCGGCACAGTGAAGAGCCACAAAGGGAATAATTATCTTTTTTTTCCACATCACTGTTTAATCCTTTGTTTGGCCTTTACTGTATCACTGCAGAGGAGTCTCACGGGCGGCTCCAGTGCCGCCGTCGCTAAGCCACACTCGGGGGAGACTCTCACAAATCCATCGGCTTCGGACCTGCCGTCTTGTGCCATGAAGGAGCTCTGGCTTCCAGAAATGGGACTGGGCAGTGGCGCTTCTCCTGCCCAGCAAGGGGCCCGGGACGTGCCCATGGGGCTCTCTGGAAAAGCCGCTCAGTGCCGCTGGGCGGGCAGGGGTCGACAGGAGCAGGAGCATGGGAGCGGGACGCAAGCCGGCCTCATGAATCCCCGATGGTGAGAGCGCCAGGCCAGCGTTGCCTTCACCACCCGTGGGAAAATCGACGGAAAGCCCCTTCGGAGGGTCTCGGGAGCACGCAGTGATGCGAGCGATAAAAGTTATTTTCTCATTCAATCGTCGCAAAAAATGAGCGTGTCACCTCGCATTGCGCTTTAAAGAGTTTTTCTAAAAAATAAATCTCAAGAGAAAGCTCCAGCGCCCCGCTGCCCGGTTAACTCTTACCTGAGTGAAGCTCCTTCACCAGCGATGACATGGTGTTGGTGATGGAATCGGCGGCGACCAGCAGGTCGTTGCGGAGGTTCCTCCTGGTACCTGGAGCGGAGCAGACACACGGAACAGTGGGAGTCGCACACGCCCTGCCCGCGCCACGCCGCCCCCCCCACCCCGGGACCCCAGGGCCCCCCAGGCAGCTCTGCTGTGAGATGGGGGTTTGCTCTGGCACAGCCCGGTTCTGCCTGATTGCCTCTCTGGCTCATTAGCCCCCACACCGCTCTTCCCCGCGGCCGGGCAGCGTGCGGCAGCTCAAGGGCAGGTGATGCTTCTGCGGCTCGGCCGTGCTCTTTGTTCTTGCGGAGTCGTTATCGCTGCCGGCTCCTCTGCTGCGATCGATGGATGGGCCTGAGGTTTGAGGGGAATAAAGGATGACTGAATTCTCACCCTCGTCCTCCGGGGGCACAGCAGGGTGCCGTCGCCCCCGGTGACGCTGCCCGGTTCCAGCCGCACGCTCTCCCGTGCCAGGTCCTGCGTGAGAGACCCGCTCGCCCCATCGGCAACGGGCATGTCTGCCACGGCTCGGCCAGAGCAGCTGGGCCCAGCGTGGGGCCCTCGGGCTGGCTCCTGCCCCTGAAGGGGGTGGCGAGGGCAGCGGGGATGGCGCTGAGTGCTGATGCTGGAAGGTGACCATCTCCTCCATCTAGGCTGGCTCCACGTGCCGGTCCCTCCGGCAGAGCCCCGTCCTTGCCCAGCCCTTTTCTCCTCCAGTGCCTTTTTGTGCCACACCGTTGGGGTTTTATTTGGAGGCTTTGAAGGCGCGGGGTGAAGTTTTCTGCGTTGTCGCCGTTTCTCAGGTTGCGGAGCTGACGGCCCCAAGCTGCAGCTCCTCCGCCCCCCCCCGAGCCATCCCTGTGCTTTAACTGCCGACAGAAACGCCTTGAGGCGGCCCCTCATCCCACACAGGCACCAGATGTGCACCCCGGGCCCACCGGGGGCCTGAGGGTCTCTGAGATCTCGGCGTCTGGGAGCTCGCCTGCCCCTCGCTCCGGCACGGGCACGAGGGCACCAACGCGTGGAACCGCCGGAGAGAGCGGGTGTGAGGTTCTGCACCTGTGCCGAGCTGCGGGAGCCACCGCTGTCCGTGCCACGGTTGCTTCTGTTTGACCTGGGGCGTCTCTTCCACTCAGGAGTGGTGCTTTACCCTCTCCAACACCCCGGCCTTGCCCGGGGGTGCTGTCAGAGCACCGGCCCCCGCCTTCTGCACGCTCCCCAGTGCCCATCAGCACCTTCTCCCTCTGCGTTCCGCTGCCACCCGACCAGCACCGTGCCCAAAGCAGCAGCAAGGCACTGGGCGTTCCCGTGCGTGTACACTGTGCAATTCCTGGGGAAAAAAAAAAAAAAAACAACGCAAATTTTGGCCAACAAGTCTGGGACCTGTGACTTAGGAGGCTCCTCCGCATCCCTCACACAGCTGAGGCCGCTTCATCCAGGTCTGTAGATGTCCCAGGTCCCGTCACTGCACGTGACAGTGAAGCACAACCACCGCCCCTCCTGGCCTTACTTCTGGCAGTGAAAGGTCGTAAAATTCCCCGTGAAAGGCTGTAAAATTCCCCGTGAAACAGAGGAATAAAGTTAACGAGCTCATCTGGTCATCTACGTGCAGAAGCCACCCGAAGCCCTCCTGCCTGGTGGCATTCAGTTATTTTATTATGTGAAAACACAGAAATTTTATCCCTGTTTCCTGTGTTTTCCACTTGCCTTGAAGTTGCCTGATTTTGCATGATTAATATGAAATAGCACTAATTGTGCAGATTGTCTTTCCGGAAGGATCGTTCCAGGAAACTTATTATGGAGCCTGTTGACCATTTTTTTTTTTTTCTTCTAAGGATTTTTCTAGTAGTTGAACAAAGCCCCCACTGCGGTTATCATGAGGGGAACTTCCACCTTTCTGCTGGCAGCAGTGGGTCATCTTTGCATCTCAGAAATCCCGAGGGACTGTTTTCTTCTCTATCAAGACGATAAACAGCAGCATTAGTTTTCTAATGAGATGGTGGCCTCTGCATCTGAAGATTTCAGCCGGAATTCCATCGGGGCGTTTTATTCTAATGCTGCACTACCGCGCTCTCCCTCTGGCCAAGGGGAAGACAAAGAGATCGCCTACAGAGGGAACTTGATGATATGATCAAGGTCGCTGGGATTCACTTCTCTGCAGGTTTTCTTCTCTAGACCTTCCCGCACCGACGGGCAGCTCACGGGAGACTTGGAGGAAGGACAAGAGGTTGGCAGCCCTGCCCGCTCCGAGGTCACGGCAGCAGGAGGTGGAACAGCACTGAGATCTTTCCTCCCTTTGCCTCCTCTCTCCCACTGGGACGATTTATAAGAATCTGGTGGATACGCAAAAGTTAGCAAAAATAATTTAAATATCGGTAAAAAAACCCCCACCCCGTGAAATAAGTGTCCCGCAGGCGTTGCCTACAGATCCTTGGCTTCTGGGGAGTCGTCACCACCACCAAGCCGTCGTGATGCAGCTGCTTAGCCCAGCCCCAAAGAGTTTTACACAGCACCTGGTTCATCGCAACGTGCATCTGAGGTGCTGTCAGGTGTTAAAAACCTAGAAAAAACCCCAAAGTTTTCACTTTGGGCAATATCAACAGGTCCCAATGCAGGCTGTCTGCCTAGGAAGCAGGCATTCAGGTAAAAGGCATGAATGAGCCCTTGATTAATTACATCAGCTTCTATCGGAGCCAGGAGTTTGAGGAAGGCAGCTCTGGTGGTTGTAAACTGCGCAGAGAGAAGTTTGCTTCGTCATGGCTTTTGCCTGTGTCTCCGAAGAAGAAAGCAGATGGATAGAGAGCAGATTTGGATGCCAGAGCAATACTGTAAAATGAAAAAAAAACCAAAAACCCCAAACCCCAAGTAGGACAGTTAATGTACTACTATAATCATGTGTTCGTTACTCCTAGCAGCAGAAAGGAGATCATTTCATCTCTTTGTGCTTTCCTAATTAAGAAAGGAAAGGGGAAAATGATGAGGCAGATAGAGCAGATTTTCCCAGTAACTGGTAGGACTCGTTGCGCTGCTGTTCCACTTTACGCAGCCTGGAAAAAAGAAAGCCAATCTGCAAAGGGGGGAAGGAGAGGCAGCTGCCAAAGAAATCAGTTGAGAGCTCTCGGCTGCACCATCAAACTTGTTGTAGAGATGAAGAGGAGGCGACTGGACCACCCACAGCAACAGATGGAGTGTTGTGCCTCTGGTATTTGGCACCCTGCCTCCCTGGAAATGCCTGCTTCTGCTCTCGTTTCTGGAAGCGTTTAGAGATGAAGAGCTTGTTCCTCCCGATGGGATCGGAAGAAGCCATCTCCTTCTCGCAGAGGAGTCCTGGACGCTGGGGGGCTTCAGGCTGGATCTCCTCCATCGCCTGCCCCATCCCGTGGCCGAGGTTGTGGAGGACAAGCGACAGCCCTTCCCCCTGCTGAGCAGGCTGGGGGCCGGGGGCTCCCAGCCCTTCCCGCGCCGCTCCAGCCGCCGAACACCAGTTCAAAGCGTTTGCTGGTTCCTCCCGCTCCTCCGCGGCCGCCTCGCAGTCTCCTCCCTCACCTTCTTCTGGTAGCAGCTCGCTCCGGCAAGGAGGATCTTTCTAGAAGGACATAACCGATGAGCAGCCGATCAATGCAAACTGTGATTTAAAAATCTGTTGGGTCCTGAGACACATCATCAGTTCTGGGAAAGTTTATTTTCGCGTTCTCTTTGTTTTGAAAAGGGCAGCGTCCATCTGACAGGGAGATCTGACACCGGACTCATGACCTCCCCTGCCCGGGATGAGAAAACACCACCTCCGGTTCTGCTGCTCCATAGGCCACGACTTGTCATCTTCTGCAGAACTCAACAGCCCGGGCTCTGCGCGGCGGGGAGGGCTCTTGTTCGCGGCGCAGAGCGATACACAGCAGAGGCCGTGGCGGCTCTGAGGTGGCCATGGACCAGCGCGGTGTCCCACGCAGCGCCCGGAGTCCGTACCAAGAGGTGCTGCCCGATGCTTGTCTCTGCCCACCAACAGGTGAAGTTCTCGCCAGGGCAGGCCAGAGAGGTGGATTTTCTGCCCTTTTTTATTTTACCGTCGATAAGAAGAACATGCACTATGAGTGGATGTCCCGCCGCTCCGGGAACGCGGGCTCAGGGACAACCTCGGTGTCTGTCAGAGGTACCCGGGGTCCTGCTGCTGCCTTCTCTCACAGCTCTACATCCCGGGATGCCTCTGCGGTGCCAAAGATGAAGAGTTCTGAGCCAGTGTGGGCAAGAGAGAAGAAAAGAGAGCGTAGAACCCAAGTGACCCCGCTCCTGGGAATACAGAGTACGGGCCCCCGTTCCGACCAGGAACGGCTTCCCTCACCACGAGCAGAGCCGAAGCAGAGCCGAATAACTAATTTCCCCCTCCTCTGCAGTGAGATGGTCCCCGAAGGTAAACAAAAATGATTTGCCAAGTTTCTTGACATTGGACTGACCGTCGTGTCTTTGCTTGCTGCCTTCCAGCGTCGCCAGGGAGTTGGAATCCTCAGTATCTGGGGCAGAGGCAGGGGTCTGCATTGAGCTGAACATGTTTCCATTTCACCTGGTGGTGAAATCTTCAAATTCCGGGGCCCGTCCTGAGCCAACAATGGCTTTGACATGGAAAAATTCGACTTTTTTTTCGAAACGCGTGACTGCAAAACTTTTTCGTTTTTTTAAAAAAAAGCAACAGCAGCTAAAACTCGCACTACCTACAGAAGTTGGGGAATAAAAACATGTATGTCAACTGCTGCCCTGATTTTGTATGAAGCACGACAAGCTGTATTAGTCACAAAAGGGCAGCTCCCCCATTCGCTCACCCCAACCACGCGGATTTTACTGAAGAACCAGAGGACAGGTGGACAGAGAGGAGCACAGCTGGGATAACCTGATAACCCAGCACTTGCTCTGTCTACTGACGGAGCAGTTGGCAGCAACGAGTTTAGGCCAGACAGTGATAGGTTTTTTCCAACGCAGAGGGGAGTAACTTGTAGAAACGGTGCAAAAGGAGCTCTGATGGTTGGAGCAAGAAAAAGGTCATTGTCCTTCTGCTTCTTCATTATGGCGTTGTCTTCTCTTCTCTTCTCTTCTCTTCTCTTCTCTTCTCTTCTCTTCTCTTCTCTTCTCTTCTCTTCTCTTCTCTTCTCTTCTCTTCTCTTCTCTTCTCTTCTCTTCTCTTCTCTTCTCTTCTCTTCTCTTCTCTTCTCTTCTCTTCTCTTCTCTTCTCTTCTCTTCTCTTCTCTTCTCTTCTCTTCTCTTCTCTTCTCTTCTCTTCTCTTCTCTTCTCTTCTCTTCTCTTCTCTTCTCTTCTCTTCTCTTCTCTTCTCTTCTCTTCTCTTCTCTTCTCTTCTCTTCTCTTCTCTTCTCTTCTCTTCTCTTCTCTTCTCTTCTCTTCTCTTCTCTTCTCTTCTCTTCTCTTCTCTTCTCTTCTCTTCTCTTCTCTTCTCTTCTCTTCTCTTCTCTTCTCTTCTCTTCTCTTCTCTTCTCTTCTCTTCTCTTCTCTTCTCTTCTCTTCTCTTCTCTTCTCTTCTCTTCTCTTCTCTTCTCTTCTCTTCTCTTCTCTTCTCTTCTCTTCTCTTCTCTTCTCTTCTCTTCTCTTCTCTTCTCTTCTCTTCTCTTCTCTTCTCTTCTCTTCTCTTCTCTTCTCTTCTCTTCTCTTCTCTTCTCTTCTCTTCTCTTCTCTTCTCTTCTCTTCTCTTCTCTTCTCTTCTCTTCTCTTCTCTTCTCTTCTCTTCTCTTCTCTTCTCTTCTCTTCTCTTCTCTTCTCTTCTCTTCTCTTCTCTTCTCTTCTCTTCTCTTCTCTTCTCTTCTCTTCTCTTCTCTTCTCTTCTCTTCTCTTCTCTTCTCTTCTCTTCTCTTCTCTTCTCTTCTCTTCTCTTCTCTTCTCTTCTCTTCTCTTCTCTTCTCTTCTCTTCTCTTCTCTTCTCTTCTCTTCTCTTCTCTTCTCTTCTCTTCTCTTCTCTTCTCTTCTCTTCTCTTCTCTTCTCTTCTCTTCTCTTCTCTTCTCTTCTCTTCTCTTCTCTTCTCTTCTCTTCTCTTCTCTTCTCTTCTCTTCTCTTCTCTTCTCTTCTCTTCTCTTCTCTTCTCTTCTCTTCTCTTCTCTTCTCTTCTCTTCTCTTCTCTTCTCTTCTCTTCTCTTCTCTTCTCTTCTCTT